GGTAGAGTGTGCGCTTAGCATGCACGCGAGGYCCAGAGTTCAATCCTCAGCATCACAAAAAATAAATTTAAAAAATGCAGTTACTGGGGCTGGGGATGTGGCTCAAGCGGTAGCGCGATCGCCTGGCATGCGTGCAGCCTGGGTTCGATCCTCAGCACCACATACAAAGATGTTGTGTCCCCTGAAAACTAAAAAATAAATATTAAAAAAAAATTCTCTCTCTCTGTCTCTCTCTCTTTAAAAAAAAAAAATGCGGGGCTGGGGATGTGGCTCAAGCTGTGGCGCGCTCACCTAGCGTGTGTGCGGCCCGGGTTCGATCCTCAGCACCACATACAAACAAAGATGTTGTGTCCGCCGAGAACTAAGAAAAAATAAATAAATGTTAAAATTCTCTCTCTGTCTCTCTCTGTCCCCCTCTCTCTCTCACTCTCTCTTTAAAAAAAAAAATGCAGTTACTGATTCAGAGGTCTGGACCTAGCCTGAGAGCCTCTGTTTTTCTTTTCCTAAATTTCTGTAGTATTGGGGATTCAACCCAGGAGTGCTCTACCACTAAGCTACATCCCCAGCCCTTTATAATTTTATTTATTTGTTTTTTTATTGCTGGGGATTGAACCCAGGGTCTTGTGCCAACTGAGCTATATCCCGCTCTTTATTTTATTTTATTTTATTTTGAGACAGAGTATTGCTAAGTTGCTGAGATTGGTCTTAAACTTGGGATCCTCCTGCCTCGGCCTCCTGAGTAGTTGACATGAAAGGCATAGAGCACCACCCCAGCTCTTGTTTATTTGTTTTGTACAAGTTGTGATTTTAATTCAGGCCTGCTTCAAACTTCTGGGCTTAAGTGATGGTTCTATCTTAGTTTCCTGAGTAACTGGGACTATACTTGTGTGCCACTTCCCTGGGCTTAATATAATACAATTATTAATGAGGAGGTACTGGGGATTGAACTCAGGGGCACTCCCCCATTAAGCCACACCCCAGCTCTATTTTGTATTTATTTTATTTAGAGACAGGGTCACACTGAGTTGCTCAGCGCCTCCCTGTTGCTGAGGCTGGCTTTGAACACCAGATGATCCTCCTGTCTCAGCCTCCCGAGCCTCCGTGATGTCAGCCATGGGCCCTTGCATCTGTTTGGTTGTGCTTAGTTTTTGAAATGGAGCATGTGCCCTCAGCCACCTTTCAAGTGCCCCACAGCTACACATGGCTGTGTCCACCAGGAAGGTACACACAGGTCTAAGGTGTGTGACCCTGTCCCAACCCAAACTGCATACAGATCATAAGGATCAAGTCATTCCTGTGGCCAAGAACTTCAAGTTTATTTTTATTTTTTACAGTACTTGGGTGCTGGGGACTGAACCCAGGCCAGTGCTCTTCCACCGAGCTGCACCCCCAGCCCTCTTTATTTTCTTGGAGGCAGGGTCTCACTATATGGACTAGACTGCTCTGGAACTTTCCATCCTCCTGCCTCTGCCTCCAGAGCTCTGGGATCATAGGTGTGCGCCACCACACCCGGCCCTTTTCATACACACAGGGCAGAACGTCAATCTTCTGACGACGACTGTGGCTTTCTGTGGCCACTCTTCTTAGGCGCACAGAGCGGAGCTGACCCTAACCCGACACATGCCCTTCCTGAAGACAGGCCAAACAGCAGCAGGTGGGCCCTTGGGACCCCACATTTCCACAGCTGCGCACGGGAAACCCTCAGCCCCTAGCCTGGAAATCTCAGTGCCCTGCTTTAGCTTCTTTCCAGGTTTTGCACCAAACCATACTGTCCCTGGAGAAGTTGCTCAATTAATGTGAAGTMAGATTCCAAGCCCATTTTGGAGGAGGAGACGTCACTCCCAGCTAGGTGCGCTTGGCTGGGTACCATTTGTTACATAAGCAGCGGCTGCAGGACRCGCCTCACCGATGTCGTCTGCAGCACACCCTGGGCCCCAGCGGGAGTCACACGGGCTTTCCCTGGGAGGGCACCGCGTGGAATTGAGGCTTGTACTCGGGAAATCACTTTTGTCCTCTGACAAGTAGGGCCAGTTCGCGGGTGTTATACCCAAAGTGCTTGACTCCTCCTGCTGGACCTCAGGAAAAACCAGTTTTGGGAGCACCACACCTAGGGTCAGATGACGCAACGTGATCTTAGCRTCCCATTGCATCAGCGTTCCTGACGCATGCCCGGCTTTTATGCTGGAAAAAAAAAAAAAAGCATTATAATGGGGCAGGAGAAAAAGAAGAAAAAAGTCTCTGCAAAGGCACCCTAGGTAGTGTTCCTAATTGGCCACACAGGGTGTTTGGAGAATAAACACTCCACCAAACTCCTCGGCCTGACAAGCATCAGCGTGCCATTTCCTGAAGGAGCACGGATGGCATATTTAGGCRAAATTCTTCTCTGGCTGGTTCTATTTATGTTTTATATCAAAGCAGAAGGTTTACACTCTCAAATCCTTTTTTTAATGCAAGGTCTATTAGGAAGAGGCTTTCAAAGGGTGCTTCTATTCTGTCTTGACCTTTCTGAAAATCTCTGAAATGTACCAGTTGATTGCTCATTTCCAAAGTTCTTCTCCATAAGTCATAAGTGCTCTTAGCTCCCTGGACCTACGGACTGTTGACTTTGATCAAATACTTTAGATCAGAGCCTCTTAAAGTCTCTGTCTTCCTCCCCCCCCCCCCCCCCCCCCCCCCCCCCCCCCCCCCCCCCCCCCCCGCCATGCCCCCCCCATGCCCTCCCCATGCCCAATCCTGTTTCTTGTTAGAACGATTAATGAAGGAATTACAAACATCCCAGCGCTCTCTCCATCTGCAGGAAGTCCCCTAAAGAAGGAACTTCCTGGTGCAGTATGCCCAATGAAGAGGGGAGTCAGGGAAAATCTCTGGCAGGAGAGAAAGGTTGATCCTATTGTGGGGCAGGGGGAGACAAATAGGAAGAAAAAWAGCTTTTTTTCTCCCGGACCCCTAGGATGAGGCAAGATCTTCCAGCAATAATCAACCTTTGGCGGCTTACCAGGGTCTGGCTAAGCTAGGCCCTGCTCGGTTTCTCCAGTCCTGGCTTCCCTCTTCTCCTCCAGGCCCATGGGACATTCCCCACCAGATCCATGGACTCTGTATGCCCTGCTCTTTCCACTTGTCTAGSAATGATCTTATCCCCACTCTGGGGTCTGATTCTTCCTTTTAGTTGCTTAGCTTAATTTTCCACTAGAATGCCTTTCCCARCCCTGGAAGAAGGCTAATTCCCTCACCACAATGCTCCTACACAGGTTGCAATTACTAGCTCAACTACTGTTTTTCCTTACTGTGCATTCCACTAGGGCAGAAATCTTGCAACCCAGGTCTTTTGGGGTGGGCAGCATCTAGTACAGCGAGTCTTGCATGTACGAGAGAGAAATTACCATCAAAACTAGTTTAAAGTGCACCTATGGCCCTCAAATGAATTACTAATTGATTCACTAATATATCACACCTTTATGTAACTTGACCACGTAACAGTGTAACAGCTCCTTGATACATAGTGGGGACAGTTCCGTACGAAAATAAAAATCCAGCCTCTAACATAGGAAAGTTATTCAAATTGAATTCATCTTTCATTCCAATCACTCAATTAGGGCACGTCCCTTGTTGGCTGCTGCGTGAGCAAAGTAACTATTTTACAGCGAGTGTCCTCAGGTGACCTGTCTAGACGTACAGGGGAAAAACAATCCAACACTCTCCTAAGCCCCAAAGACGTCTCCGATGCGCAGGACGCGTTGCGCGGAAGGCCCCAGGCGCGCTCGCAGGCTGGCGAACCGCGCAGGAGCGGGGAGGGCCAGGTCTGCAGCGTGGCGCCCGGCGCCGGCTCTGGTGGGCGGACGCGCGGGTGGGGGCGCAGGTCCGCCGGCCCGCAGGGGGCGCGCGCGCCCCAAGCCCCGCGCCGCCCGCCCCTCCGCGCGCTCGCTTGCCGCCCGGCCGCACATGTGTTTCTGTTTTGTGTTGTAGCATTTGTTCTGGAAGCTTGTATTTACATTTTAAGTGTATCTGGTGAGTGGGCTGGAGCCCTCGTCTGGGCCGGAAAAAAAAAAAAAAAAAAA